CAATATGCGTTTTTGCTGCCTGTTGCAGCGCTCTAGCGCTGCACGGCAAAAACGCATAAAAAGCGGCGCGCACCAGAGTAGCTGGTGCGATCATGCATTTTGCGCAGTTTCGATCAGCGGACGTTTGCTTCCTAAGAGTTTTGACTGTTTTGCAGCTTGGTCTGTGAAAAAATATTCGATATGCCGTTTGATTCCTAGGCTGCAAAATTTCCCAATAAAAATTTCACATACCAGTAAGCGAAATGCAAGCGTGCGTGAAAGCTGAATTTGAAACATTGTGAACATTGTTTCAAAATTTCGACCTCCTAGTTCTCTGACTTTTGAGTAACTTTCGCGCGGAACTTTCACATGGTCTTACGTGAAACCTCTTCATAATTGTGAGTTAATTTTAAGTTTGTTAGGCCCTTGAATAAACAGAAAACATCCTCCTGAAATTCCAGCCCCCTAGCTCTTCCCGCTCCTTTGATAATTTTTTGCGCCAAAAATTTCATGGGACCGTACGTGGAAATACGTGGAAGCTGGATTCGAATTTGCTGGGCTGTATGTAGGCAAGGGTAATTACCCTAAAATTTCAACTTCCCAGATCCCGTGGTCCCCGAATTCTCCCCTCCAAAACTTTTGCGGAATTGCACGTGGCACCCGGGGCTAGACGAAGGCTGAATTTAAGTTTACGGGGTTGCACTTGGACGGGGAACGTACTACTAAAATTCCAGCTTCCTGGCTTGTCTGGTTCCCGAGTTGAAAGCAACGAACAAAATGCACTCGGAACACACACATACAGGGTAATATGCGTTTTGTGCAGCTGCTGCACAGCGCAAAACTTGTAATATCAGTTCACGCTAAGGTAACTGGTGCGATCATGCGTTTTGTGCAACCCTATCCACCTGATGCTTGGGCAACTCTGCTCAGCGGAATCTTGCTGTTAAAAGTATCCGCTGCATTGTTGTTTGACACGTTAATTTTGGCGCTAAAATTAAGTGCTTGTGGTCCCTGAGTTATTAATATTGGCATCAAAATTTTCACTTGTCCGTACGTAAGACCTTGGCGTGCATGAGTGTGAATTTATACGTGGACAGAAGCATTACTTTAAAATTTCAGCTTCCTGGATCTCCTGATTCCCGAGTTTTTAATTTTGGCGTAAAAAATTTCACGTGTCCCTACGTGAGATCTAGGCATGCGTGGTGGAGGGGAGCTGGAATTGATTTTGCGGGGTCATACTCAGGCAAGGTAAATTCTAATACTTCAGCTCCCTAGCTTTTCTGGTTCTCGAGTCAATAATTTTCGTGCCAAAACTTTCACATGCAAATACTCGAAATCTAGATGCAGTTGAAGTCTAAATTTAATTTTTCTGGGTCAAACACAGGCCAGGAAACAGTATTCTAAAATTTCGGCTTCCTGGCTTCTGTGGTTCTCAAGTTATTAATTCTGGCAGCAAAAACTTTAACGTTCCTATGCACGACATCTAGGCGTGCGTGGAAATTGAATTAGTACGTGATAGGAGCATTGCTGTGAAATTTCAGCTTCCCAGCTTTCACGGTTCCTGAGTTATTAATTCTGGCATCAGAAATTTCTCGTGTACCTACGTGAGATCTAGGTGCGCGGCAGCCGTATTTGAATTTATGAGGGTCATACGCGGAAAAGGACATTCTCCTAAAAATTCAGCTTCCTAATTTTTCAGTCCCGAAATGGCAATTCCCGAAACATTCGCACAATCTCTCTTTCGTGGAAAAAGAAGGACAACTGAAGCTATCGGTGGCTAACTGAGGTTCCCGGCCCTTTCAAAAAAAGACTTTCAAAGTAACTGGCAGGACTGCGTCAGTTAGTGATTAAATGGCTTAGCAGTTCTCTAGGCAGTCGGCCAGAAGGAGACAAATTTGATAAAACGAATGTAAGCGAGTAAAGCTACTGTTATTCATAAACTGGTGTTTCAGAGAAGCGTCAGTTGAATTTCAGTTTATGATCGAGGAGTCCGATTACTAGAGAGTACCATATCCTGGGGGAATAGTAATTTGTGGAAAAATGTTGCATTTTTTGATAAATTATTCTTTCGGTGAAATTTTTATAAGGATACTTTAGCGGAAGAATTGCTGTTTCCAGAACTTGGAATTGCAAGAAAAGTATGGGAGTGTTATAATTTTCTTGCCTAATGAAATGAAACCAAATGAGCAACAAAGTCGTCAGTAGGTTGACCTCCAGGTGATGCAGCATTGTTCATAGGGAGTGAAGTTGTTAGCTGCATAGGTGAAGAATCAGCTACAAATCTTGCTGATCAGAATATGACAGTGCTGCCTTTTTATAAACCAGCAATGTATAACACAAGTCTGGTTGTGGTAAGATAATTTTGAATTAGATTCAAAGCAGACATTTCGAGATGAAACCCGATTTACAAAATTATTATATTCATATAATCTGTTCTTTGACTAGTAGCTGTTTATATTCGTTGTTCTCCGGTTTTTTCCGGTGCTTTGACCAAAGCCACTTCACCTAGTCATCAGCCTGCTGACGCTTCTGGCGTCTTTTTCGCTTCCTGAAGGGATTGCCAATTCAGCAGTCATTCCCACAGAAGTGCTTTCGTAACGTATTATTCGTTTCCATCACTATCACGTGTGGAACCTGGCTGCCACTATTAGGCCACAATCAAAGTACTTTACAGTAGGCGACCCCTGGCACAGTAAACAAATGCTACGAATGTTTGATACCTTTTCAGCGGTAGGTAACAAGCTAATCCTTGTGTTGTTCAACTTTACAAGACAGGTTTATGACATATGAATGTTTATGGAACAACTGTGTAATGAAAAAAGTTTGAAATATGATTATTTCTAAGACTGTATTTAATTTTTTCGGAAGGCAGCTTGTCCTGCCGAAAACTGGTGTACATTGTGCGTTAGTAGCTAGTTCTGTCGAGAAAGTAAGCGATCATTCGAGCGGTCCTCGAAAAGATGGCGAAAATACATCGAATGGGCGGTGGAGATATGCAGCTCCGGATCGAGGGGCGACCGGAGTGGGTACACAACCAGTAACATCACTAACATGGGATACCCGCACTGATTGTCCGGTTGGTAGGTATTCTTGGTATCTAATCATTTTCTGGTGGTGGCACCAAAATACAGGCAAAAGGTTAGTCTGCTTGTTTTATTCACAGTGGATTCAGGTAATAATACATATCAATAAATAAAGCCACTATTATCCACAGATAATCGTTTCTCTTCCTTGTTGTTCGGCCTTTTTGAAGCCGTCGCGTAAATGAGTACGCATGGAACTAGCAGCAGCGTCGTTGCTACCGCCACGAAATAAAACGAAAAGCTGAGCCTGAAACAAAGTTAATTATCATTAATTTTGAAAATCCATTGTGATTGGCCCGATTATCGGTGGGGGGCGACCAGTGATGCGATGTCTTAAAAGGTATTTTGAGGAAAAAACATTTCCTAAAGATCAAAAAGTCAAAAGTTCTTCAGTATTGGCTCTCTGTGAAAAGCGGAGGCAGTTGAGAAGTAGCCCGTGTTGTAGCAATTGCTAGCGCAACCACTCGCCGACAAGGGGCCAATGATCTCTTCTTTCGAGGGCTGCTTACAAACGAGCTGACGGTGCATATGACTCCCTAGCAGATGCCAATACCAATTTACCATTGAAGGAAGTGACTGAATCTTAAAGGGATTTGAAGCCCCAGGGCGGGTTAGAACCTTTGGCCTGCGATACGATATCAGTGCTACTTCCCAGTGCATCATACCGATCGGTGACTACAAAATGCTCACATCAAAAGATCGAAAAGCCTTCAGAATTTTGCTGAGCTTTTTTTTTCGAAATTTTGATGCGTTTATCGAATCTCATGCTGCATTTCAAGTTTATAAATTTAAACGCCTTGTTAGGTCCTTTTTTTCCCCTGTATTCGCATCCTACAGAGACCTTGTCCGGTTTTCAGTTGAAAATCCGCTACTAATATGTTCATCCAATAGTACATTGCATCGAATTGTTGTTGCATACTGTACTAAGAAGGTTGCCAACGCTGCTGCATATGAGACCACTGCAAAAAAATCTTGAGTCATAAATTGTTTAGATATTTGGAGTCATAAATTTAAATCTCATTTGCTCATTTTGCAAAGCCCACGGCGTTCGCCGTTTTGATTTGCAACCCGCAAGTAAAATATTTGGTTTTTTTAAGCGCTTTGTGCTGTAATAGTTGCACAAAAGATATATTGTCGCGACCTTGTCTGTGTGTGTGCTTGTTTTTTGTTTGTGGGTGTGTGTGAGTGTGTCTGCGTGTGTTCCGAGTGCATTTTATCTGAGGGTTTCAACTCGGGAACTAGAGAAGCTAGGAAGTTGAAATTTTGTTGGAATGTTCCTTGCTTACATGTGAACCCTCAGATTTCAGTCTTCCGCGTGTCGTCGAGCACCACGGAACCCAGGTAAAGTCCCGCAAATTTGAATTCAGCTTTCATGTAAGCTTGGATCCCACTTACGACACCGTGAAAGTTTTGACGGGAGAAATTATTATCTCGGGAACGAAAAGAGCTGTGAGGCTGAAAACTTCAGGCGGATATTTTTTACTTATGCAGGGGCCTAACAAGCTCAAACTTAGCTTCCAATTATGATGAATTCTCAACGCTATGCAAAAGTTTTAACGCGAAAGTTATTCAGAAGCCAGAGGACTGGGATTTTGAAATTTTGGAACAATGTTCACCGCTCATGGCTTCAAATTCAGCACTCACGTACGTCTGCATCTCATGTACTGGTACGTGAAATTTCTGATGCGAATTTCACAGTTTAGGAACCAAACAATATATCGACTATTTTTTCAAAGACCAAGATGTAAAACAGTCAAAACCCTTTGGAGGCAAACATCTGGAAGTCGAAACTGCGCAAAATGCATGATCACACTTGCTACCCTGTTGCGTCCCGCTATTTATTTCACTTTTAACACAAGTAATCTGACGTTATTTTGAGGAAACAAATTCAGGAGTAGCAATATTGTCGTCTAGTAGGTCGAGGCTTAGACTGCTGTGGTCGGACATCTAACCCCTCTACAATTCGTCCATTCTTTTCGATAGCAAACTGATGCATTTTCAACGGGATCGACGTGTTGCTTGCATCATTCAGGTTAACTGCTGATTTGAAGGTAACGCCAAATCATTGTCTCTGGATAAATCCCTTATTTGTGGTAAGGCATAGACATGTATTTTGAATCAGCTTGGCATGCAGACATTGCTACCCTAAAACTACGTTAAACGTATCAGACGTCTACAGCCTCGCACAGCATACCTCTACTTTAAATTATTGGAGATATAGAAGCACGTTCTTTTAAAAAATTTCAAGTGCATCAGCTCCTTTTCTTGTGTGCTTCACTGTTGCTGGAAATAGTTAATGAAAAATGCCGACAGTAGCAGTAGACGTAACTTTACAATGTTAAACTATCATACCAGAGAGTATGCTCCACAAATAAATTCCTTTTGGCCCAGCGACCGTATCTGTCTCTTTAGCCACCGTATTCAGGAGTGCGACAATTGCACCCAGTATATTCCATAAAATTCCAAGCGCCAGAAAGAAAATTATAAATATCCAAGGAACTTTTGCCATAAAGCTTATTCGATTGTGCAGTTCCTCATATACTAAAAGCAGTGGCATGCGCAAATACCTGATTATGACCAAAATGTTTATTTTATATCAAAAATCAAGACTCAAAACCCCCCTCCCTTATACGTTGTCTATGGGCACTTGGGAAGCAGCCGGTATGGTAGTTTATTCCAACAGTAACTACGCTCTGGAAAATTTTTGGATAGTTCCCTCTTTCGAGGGCTATTTATAACCAAACTGATGACAGGTTTGACTCCCTGGTACATGTCAGTACTACTGCATCATCAAAATCCTGGAGGGACTGGTTGTCCTATCGACAGAATCAAACCCTTAACCCAATGCACGGCAGTATTGCTGCCCATCACTTCATATGAAAGATAAATGTGTTTAAAATCCCAAAAAATACCTGAAAACGATTTATGGCGTGGCCCGAGGCCCCAGTTCAGTTGCCGGCTACCCCTGAACAAGCCCAGATTTACATAATTGTTGTCGGAATTGAATTTTGCGTTGATGGGACGACTTTCAGCCCAGTAATCCGTATGAATTGATGCAAATACAAGTGATATTGCGGCGATAAAAATGATCAAAGAAACGAACACTGACAGACGCCTTCGGCTCTGCATTATCTTTGGGAACAGGATTTTTCCGTCCTTCCACAGATTTCGAACAGAATTTCTGAAACTTTTTGTAGTGTCTTCAAAAATTCAAGCCAGTCACATTACACCAAAAACACCAAGACCGTCCGGATAATTATTGTAAGGGATTCCATGGTAATGAAGTCACGGGAATGTCCCCGTATGCCGGTCGCAACTGTGCCGCGCCGTTCGATCATGAGCTGGGTTTCTGCGGTTAGCACTCACTGCCTGTTCCACGTATGTGCATCATCCCTCCGAAAGCCCAAGTGGGCCTTTACTTCCTCCAGCGTGCCAGTCACTAATGCGAGACGTTCACCGGTTGTCTGCTACAATTTTGATGCGTTTTTGCACTTTTATACAGATGCAAAAAACACATATTGCTGAGAAGTTGTCGTTGTGGGTGTGTTCGGATTTTTGTCACCCACACTCAACCCAGCAACCACAGAAGCTAGAACCTCACAAGGATGTTTTCAGCTCATATGTCATCCAAACAGCTTAAAATCAACGTTCACAACACCCGGGTCTCACATATGGACGCCTAAAAGAATTTATGAAGATTTGTTTGCGAAAAAGTGATTTTGGGAACCAGAACAAATAAGAGGCTAGAATTTTATAGGAATGTTCTACATTCTTGTGTGAGCTAAGCATTTAAAACTCAGCTTTATACGTGCCTGTGTCACATCAAAATTGTGTACGTCAAAGTTGATACTTCGTCATCGCTTGCAAAATGCTAATTCGGGAAGTAAGCTGATTAGAGTGCTCTCAATTTACGACAATATTTGTTTCTATACGTGAACACGCAGGCGTAAACTGAGCTTTGGCACATGTCGTATTGCGCGTTCGGACAAGTCAAATATAAGTGTAACGAAAAGCGGTTTCGCCAACCAGTTAAGAAAGCTGAAACTTTACAAGGATATTTTATTCCAATTTACCCATATCGAGCTTCATGATTAGGTTTCGCGTGTACGCAGGTGAATATTTAGTTCGGGGTACTGTTGGCATCCAATTAACTGTATACCCGACGAAGCAGAAAGTATGTTTCTTAAGATGCTTCCTGTTAATGTGCGGGTTAGCAAGAGTGAGACGAGGTTCTGCCTAGGCATAGGCTTTGCGTGTAAGCAACAAATTTTCAAGCAGCAACATCGCAGTTGTACCCCAGTAATACAGGCGATCTGTTTGTGAGATGGAATCATACAAAAACATACGACTGTACCAGCAAACCAGTGCGTTGCTACTTGGGTTGCATTTGTCGCACTCCCTTCTCCTCTAACCTCCTCCCCT